AGACCACAGCCGTCCTGGATATCCATCAGCGTGCCAGACACAGGGAAATCACACTCGGCACATTCAGCGCTAGCAGCAGAGTAGTGACAGGGGGAGGAACTCTACTTACACTCAGCCATCAGTCCATCCCAACTCAATTAAAATGCTGTAACCCAAACCCAAATGACACCAGAGAAAAATCGTGTTTGTCACGCTAATTCATAGCTTTTTAATAATTCATACTTCAAACTCAAACATTTATAGTTAACTGATAACATATTTTTTTATTTGACGAATAAAAGCTAAACAAAATGCTTCTTACTCTGTTTATAAAATGTAGTTGTGATATATGCATGACAATGTGTATTCAGAATCTAAAAGCCTCAAATGGAACATTTCTTTGAACAGCACATTTCAAATAAATACATTTGCAGAAAGTTGCTCATGTTGTAATATGGCAGCTGCATCCTCGCTTACATAAAAATCACACAAATGCAGCCTTCCATCGAAAACCAAACCCTGCTGTAAGACTACAGCCAGACACACTACATTTTTTCAAGCTCAATGTCAGTGTCACCTTTTCATCACAACCCATTTACGTTCAAAGACAAATATATCTTAACAGAATGCAAATAAAAGCATGTCTTTTTCCCATACTCCTAAGAAAAATCTGATTCCCAAGGAGGAACGCTGGATCACCTCAAAGTTCCACATAAGTTTTTAATGAACCACTTTCTAACAAAGATACCAGAGAGTCGAAGATCACATAAAGTCTGTAATCTGATCGCCCTCTTGTGGCCACTATAATACAAATTACAGGTATGCACCATTGATGAGTAAAAATGTTATGTGTTAATGAAATTGGAAAGATTAGATGAAAAGCAGTAATAATTAAATGTAACACTCTCATTTCAGACATGAGCAGTACTGTGCAAAAATCATAGGCAGTCAAAATATTTTTTTTACGTTATGTGGGTAGTAAGTGCACTCAGAATAAAAAACTGAATTTAGCATTAGACCATGTTACACAAACAAACTAGTAAGTATTTCTTCTTTTCTCCAAATAGTTATTATTTCTAGCTGGATGGCTGGATGAACACCCTCTACAGCTCCCAAACCGCTCCTCAGGGGCACGTCAGCCATTCCACATGTATTTGTTATATTTCACCACCAAATCTCTTAATCACATAATTTAATCAGTTGAAAAAGTGAGAAAAAATTAGATATTGGTTAGCTATACAAGGTGTACAAGTGGTCAAGTCAAAAAATACATGGGTGTATTGGATGGATGAATATTGGGGTGATTTAACAGCAGTTTTGAAATGGCTGACACACTTTGACAGGCATAATATGATAGTTTTGGACCAACATAAAGATCTAGATTTTCTTTGGCTGCCTAAGACTTTTACACTGTACTCTATACAATGACTGATAAGACTGTAGTAATTGGGACCAAATAGCAATGGTGAAGAGTTGGCGTAGATGTTGATAATAAAAGTTCCAGAGATGTGACTATTGACTGGCAACACTGTTGCAGGAGTGCTTGTCACAGGGGTCGGTCTGCACTGCATACAGCAGTCGGTCCGCACTGCATACAGCAGTCGGTCTGCACTGCATACAGCTACTATGACTTGCATGCACTGAAATAGGGGCTCCCAGCCCCTGGAATGCTGAAGCTTTTGAGTAGCTAAAGTTCAATTCAATCATTCAGGAATAAAGGACGTGTTTCCCTTGATCTGCCGCCAGCAACCCCCCCCCCCCCCCCCCTCCCTTCCCAACAGGTTTAACCGGTCAACAAAAGGTTGGAATCCCTACACTAAAAGATATTAATAGATAACGCCAACAAACAAAACTGATGCAAGACATATGGTAAATACAAAAGGCTTTCGCTCAGAAAGCACTCTTTCCTTAATCCTTCTCCTATTTAACTCTGCCTTGCCACTCTGGCCACATCTGTGGCATGTTAATCTCAGCACACAGACATCTGATCAAACGTGCTAAACCGGCTATGAAAAGACCAGAATATGGCCAGAAGCTACTACCTCAGGCCTGCGGCACAATTTCGATCATACAGATTGTTAGTTGTTGAAGAAGGCTGCTTCTTGTGGTTATTTGACTAATTCAGAGGAGTGTACAGTGTCCAAGCCCTTCAGCACATAAGCCAACCAGAAGCCTTGGTTGCCTACGGTGGTTTGCATGCTGCTGAAAACCAATCATGGTGTCTTCAGATAGAGTGACAACCAAGGGTGGGAAATCCATGGCCACTTCCAGGACACCAGGGCAAGGCAAGTTTATATAGCAAAATTCAGACGCAAGGCAGTTGAAAGTGCTTTACAGAGGCACAGAGATACAGTAAAATAGTGGACATTAAAATCACATTTAAAAGACAAAAAACAAAAGCCTAAAAGCGAAAATAAACAAATAATTAGTTAACTAAGAAGAATTTGCATTGTAGTGGCAGTGTATGAATAAACTCTTGCTGATTTAATTTACTGAAAAGCTGTAGCCCTGGTGTAAGTGAGCTGACAGTTTTAGTAGACCTTCAGGAAGTCTTCCGGAAGCTTGCTCCACAGACAGGGAACAGATACACTAAACACTACTTCACCTTGCTTGGTCTTGAATCTGGAAACACTGAGTAAACCTTTCCCAAATAACGACAGGGGTCTGGATATTTCATAACATTCATTAAATCAGAAATGTGCATCCATTTAGTGCTTTGTACACATGTAATAATATTTTTAAATCAATCCTGTGATGATGGGTGGAGTGGTGACTGAGGCCAGGGATCTGTGCCAGCAATCGGAAGGTTGCTGGTTCAAATCCTGTGAATCCCTGGAGTGATTTCACTCCCTTGGGCCCCTTGGGACTCAGGTTCTCATCCCAGAGGTGGTTTGTTGTGTGGTGGAAATAAACAGACCGTACCTCTGAATCCTGTGATGTAATATCCTGTGATGTGATCAGCACATGTGACAGGGAAACCTCCCTTGTAGACATGCCTGTGAGGAACACCATCGCCCTTCCCATTGATCAGGTACTCAGTCTATCCACTTAAGGCTGCTAGAACAGATACAGGTATCACACCTGACGTGAGGAGTACCCCCAAAGCATAGCCGCTAACTATGTTAGCAACTCACATAACTGGCACCAGGCAACTGAATGGGCTCGACTATGTAAGTTGTAATGGGAGGTTTTGGGAAATGCACCACTGGGCATGTATTCCTATGGCCTCTCAGTGACATAACACAGCATGTCATACACAACCACACACTGAGGCAGGGGTGGCCAGTCTTATCCGCAAAGGGCCGGTGTGTATGCAGGTTTTTGGGGTAACCTTTAGGTCAGCTGTTCAAACCCAGGTGTGAGGACTCTTCAGCCAATCAGTCCTCTGTTTAGTAATATAATTAGGGAGTTGCAGTGAAAATCCGCACACACACCGGCCCTTTCTGGATAAGATTGGCCACCCCTGCACTAAGGACAGGTTAGAGACACCAATTCACCAAAATCACATGTCCCTGGACTGTGGGGGCGACTGGAGTATTTGAAGTAAAGTCAGATGAACACGGGGAGGACATGCCTCCACACACCAAGCTGGGGGCCAAAGTCGAACCCCGGACCCTGGAGGTGTCATACCCACTCAGCCACATCTGCTCATATAGGCAGCTAATACATTTGCATAAATCTAACACAGGTCTTGTCTTAGAATCACACAGTTAAAAATAGCCAGAATAATGGAGAAAAAAAACTGCTTGCATTTTTAATAATAGCAAAGTGCACATCATAGTAATAGCAAACTAGATCATGGCAGAACATGCTAAGTGGAGTATTTACGTATAATTATTTCTCTTCACACACAAAGACAAAAGAAAAGTTTGGTAAAACTTGCCTTACTTGGTAGCAAGTTAAGTGCTGTAAAGTTATTATGACCAATGAGGTTCGTCATGAGCTGATTTGCCCCAGTACGTATTTCCGCTTACATGGTGGATGAGGCTTAGTGAGCAGATAGACTTCCAGCTATGGTTATGAAAGAGGATTTCCTGGATGTTGACTACATTTTATTCTAACCACCTATTTTTATGTATTCACTCACTAATTATTAACTGACATTTTCAACCATACTGTATGGTTTAATTGCTTTGGAGATTCAGAAAAAGATCACAGGTTCTCATTGCTCTTTGTACTGCTATCGTCTGTCTACTAATACTCTGCAAGTCACCGCCTTGTAGATAAGACCGTCTGACGAATTTACAAAAACAAATGGGCATTTAATTTCAGTCAGACAGTGGCACACACTTTATTACATGCTGTTTGCCAGTCTGTTCTATTCTTTTGGTTATGCTGTGATGCGTCAAAAGAATAAAAAAAACGGCAGAAAATCAACTGTGCCGTGTCCAGAAACAAATGCCACTCTTTTGTGTCATTCTGATCTCCTGAATTTGATCAGCCTGTACATATTCCAAAATAAATGGAACACCCACAAGTTCTTTCTTTATTACTTTATTTACACGAAACACAGAATCTGTACTTGAAACAAAAGGTCATCCAGGGAGCACTGCAAACATGTCCCAGAATGCCACAGCCATTTGCACACTGGGTCAATATAGATTGAAAACTCTTGATCGACATTATTACATTATTGTGACTGGAAAGCGAAAAAAAAAAAAAGCAAAGCACTTCCCAATACTCCTTTAATTTAACCAAAATTAATTCATTTGAGTAAAGGAACAGGTTTGTTTATTTCTGACTTGTGCAAGGTGCCATTCTAAAAACCTTTCAAAACAAATTAAACAAATGATGTGGGGGGGGTTCTTTCAGTTGAAAGACACTAACTGAAGACATTAGGAAAGGGATACTGAGGAAGAATAAGAGATTCATCATATGGCACCGACTGTGATTAATCTTATACGTCAATGAGTTGGAACTGCATTCCTCTTTCAGTGCCTGGTGCAGCATGTTAACACACGTAAAACATAACAAGGAAGCTGTGCCCTGAAACCCTGGTTGAAAGAGTGACGAAAGAATGAAGGAGTGGCTGAGAGCTGAGAGCCACATGAGGCGGCCACCGATCTATAAACTGCAACTCCTACTTTCATTTAAGTAAAAAGCTTGAGAGAGACTGTGACTAGAATGATCCCCACGTCATGGATCGTTTTGCTGTTGGTTTTATGTGACGCTTCAGGTAAGTGACCAGTTACCTTCTACTGAACAGCTAGTGGTCTATGACAGCAGAATTGTTTTTTAATAACATTGCGATGATTATGTACAACCTGTTAATGTAATACCACATGGGGCGTACAGTTTAAAACATAAATGACTGTCCATTAAAGTTTTGTTTACATGTCTTGAACGCAAGTTCAGTTCCCAATAAGCTGTCTGTCATTGTAAACTGGAATAACAAGACAGGTTAATGGACCTTTTACATGGTGTTCATGGTGTGGAAGCTTCTTAAATACAAAATACAACTGTACCCATATATACAAATTGAGGTGTCATTACAGTTACTCAGGATGCACAGCTCCACATGGGCCTGTATCTAGAAACCTATACGTTAAAAGGTTTTATTTACGAAGACGATTCCTGCTGCCCAATAGATACGGCAAAAAAGGAAAGTTCTCTCATTCTGGTTCTTTAACTAGCAGAGTAATACCTGAAACACACAATTCGAAATACAGGATATACATTTTCAAGAACTGCTTTAGAAAGTCATTGTTCTTATTTTTCTTCCTCTTTTTTGTACTCTTCCATTTTGCATTTCTCTTTTAAATTGCTTGCATTTATCAACATTCCTTAAAGGTCCCATTGTTAATATCATCTTGCAGTTACACACTCAATTAGCCAAGAGGAGAGGAGACTTTGCTCTACATCTGGTCATTGCGCACGCATTTGTGGATAATCCTGACGTTAAGGTTTGCTAGCTTACTTGTGGGCTGAAGAAATACTTGCAGTTTGTTAGTAAATAGTAATGGCCAGTACAATAATCCTTAGTGGTGGCCTTGCTTCCTAAGAATCACATTTTCACAATACTACTGTTATAAGTACATGTTGCAATGTGTCAATTGCCTGTAGAGCCGTGGTGTAATCGGGAACAGGAAAGAACTATTCGTTCTGCGGGAAGCTGTTGCACAATTGCTGTTTGGTTCTTAGCTGGCAGAAAGATGGGAACCTTATATGTATGCATGCGTATATATCAACTATCCCACTGACCTAACTATAATTTATTTACATGCATTATGCTCCTGAAAGAGCATGCTTTTGTTCTTCTAAGGTATAAAGTTAAATTCTGTATATTGTATTTCTTTATATACACAGTACCGTGCAAAATATTTAGGAAGTCAAAAATATGATGTTTAAATGATCTTCACATTGCTGTGAAACTATGATATTATGCCTGTCAAAGTGTGTCAGCTTAGCCGTTTCAAAACCTCTGCTGAAGTCACCCCAGTATTTCCAGCATCCATCCAATGCTCCGGTGTGCTTTTTTTTCAGCTCAATCACCACTCCACCTTGTTTCACTAATCTACATCTCACTGAATTACTAATTAACTAATTTAATTAATTGAAATGGCGTTGAAATTTAGCAAATACATGGAATGGCTCAGGGGACTCTAAGGAGTTTTGGGAACCAAAGTGGCGTTCTTCCAACTCTCCAACAAGATATCAGAAACTTTTTAGAGAACAGAAGAAATTCCTGTTAATTTGCATATGTTCTAATATAGTTTTATATATATATATCTATACACTTACCACCTACAGTACATGAATAGCCTTAATGAAAAATGCTGCAGTCTGTTCTTCGCCCAGTACGGTATATCCATTCATCTTCCAACCACTTATCCTGTTCAGGGTGACAAAGGGACCTGGAGCCTATCTTGGGAAGCATAGGGCACAAAGCAAGTGTCCACCATGGATGGGATGCCACTTCATCGCAGGACAGTATTATGTATCTTTGTATGTACGGAGGCTCACTCAGTAGCACGTCGGGGTACTGATGCCTTGTGCCCTCTCCTGCGTGGAACAGGCTCCTAGGTCCTCCTCATGACCCTGTTCTGGATAAGCAGCCAGAAGAATTATAACGAATAATCTTTTAGTTATCAGTTACCACAACATTTTTGAAATGGCAATATTAGTTCAGCTGTAGTCAAAACTGAACCAGTAGTCCAGCAAAGCCTGTATGATATTCAGTGTAAGTGGTTAGTTTAAAAAGTGCCGTTAGGAAACTTGGTGTTCTAAGTGTAGAAACATCACCATGGAGAACCACAATAGAGGTCATAAAAATACCTCTCTTCCTTCTTTGACCTGCCTCTATAACAGCTGACACTGATCAAATGATAGGTGATGCATTTGATGTGAAACTAAGTCTATATGTGGTTTCAAGGGAGGAAACGAAAATAGGTTGCCATGGTCCAGAGATTCAGCTTGTAAGACCCCAAATAACAACGAAAGAATCAACTCGTTAAATCACCCTGTCAGATCAGCATAACCAATGTCAGCCTGTTTGGTGTCTTTAACTAGCAAAAAGAAACTTGGGATGGGACAGTAACCAGTAACCAGCTTCTTATGCTGTGGTTTCCCCACAGAAAGCCTCCATCCTGAGCCAGAAGGACTGAAGGACCACGTCATCATCAGGCCCGTCAAGCTACATGCTTTGCACAAGAGAAGCACAAGGGTGAGCATTTGCATTTTTCTGATTCCCCCTCTTACTTACAGAACTCAACCATTCCTCAAATCATTGACCCCTTGAATAAAACATTTGAGTAAAGTTTGAGTCTTGCACAAAGGCCAATTTCCCTCTGAAAATCCACACGATCGACATGGAATTCAGGTTGTACTCTGTCTTGTCGCCAGTCGTCCCGACCAGATGTGCTGAAGTATGGGATGCAAGTTAATGGCCAGGATGTGGTGCTGCACCTGGAGAAGAATGAGTAAGTCAATCAATCCAAAAAGTGCAAGGAAAGCACAAATACTCAAGAGAGATAATGCTGAGATGGGGCAGGGTGAGGTAAATAAATAACGATCAAAGACAGACATCCATGCAGCGTCTCTCAGGATGCTCATCAGGCATTTACAGGCCATGTGCCTGCAGATGTTTTGTAAGGACAGTAATGTGCTCATCCTCAGGCTTTTGGGGTCATTACCAATTTTACAAATTACTTCAAAGACAACATACTAGGGTTACATAAATTTAATTGGGTCTGGTAGTAAGGAACAAGATGAGTCAAATTAGAAAAAACAAACTTTTTAGACAATAATGAAAGAAGCCTGTATTAATTCACAGGCATTAGACGCCCAAATGAACTATGGTTAAGTGATGTTTATGAGAAAGGCTGTTCTTGGTTCAGTGTGGTTTTCATTATCATTGCATCATCATCACCAGTGTACCTCAACCCATCTTGAGCAATCAACCTTTGTGAGAAAGGAAAGAGGCTCATCCAAACTAGTTGCATACTAGTTCCCATATTACATATGATCAGATTGCAGATCCCCGATCACTCTTTACTACGTGGGTACAAGGTTTTTGTGTGTGTGTGTGTGTGTGTTTGCATAGATCACATTTGAGGACCAAATTGTCCCCAAAGTGTAGTAAAACCTGAAATTTCCCTATTTTTGGGGACATCTTTTGAGGTCCCCATCTGAATAACCTCAGTTTTATAAAAATCTGGGAATGCAATCGAAAAAGTAAAAATGCCAAAAGTCTTGTATTTGGGTTGGTTACTTATGGTTTAGGTTAGGGATGGGTAGAGGTTAAGGGTGTCGTGATTGGGATTAGGGTTTTTCCCATAGAAATGAATGGACGGTCCCCATTTAGATGGGAAGACCGACTTGCTGTGTGTGTGTGTGTGTGTGTGTGTGTGTGATACTGTGAAGTTATGACCTTTGAATCATGTGATAAAACTGTTTCCAGGGGCAACCTGAGTACAAGCCAATTTGCCACAGTGTTGCCTCAATGTTTTAATCGATCTAAAACAAAAAAAACTAAGAAATTCTCCTTCTACCGCATTCCATGCCAAGAGAAAGTTAATATTAAGTGGCTGTGTACACTTCATAGCCATTTTCACGGTATTGGGATGTAATGGTGCACAAAATTGAAGGTTTAGTAAAAACGTGGGGTTTGGGTTCACGGTTCTGTGCCATTTCGGTACACCAGGGATAACTGAATTTGTTCTGGGATTATTTATTTTTAAAACAGCAAACACAATTAGGAAAAGCTGTAACCCAGAGGCAATATGTCTGTTGACGTATCTGAATTACAAGACACGCTTATTTAAAATATATATATCATGCTCATCTGCCGGCGGCTCTGGTGCGGGCTTTCGGGCAGTGGGATGGCAGTGTGCCCGGTGCCCTTCTCTCCTGCCGCACCAGCAGACCAGCATCGCGTCCTTGGTCATCCTCCTTACGTGCCGCCGCTTCTCAGCTGCCTGGAGGTCCGCCAAGCTGGAGCGGGGCTTGCCGGATGATCTTGTAGAGCGTGCGCTCTAACCGCACCACTGGGATCGTTTCCAGCATCCCACTGCCAACGCCTATGTAGTGCCGGCTGACCGAGGCGTCGCGAGAGCAGCCAATGACGAGCAGACTTGCCCACTGGCGCTACAATATTACCACTGAGTTATGTCAAGCAATGAGGACTTTATTGTCCATATGAACGTATAGAGTGGCACAAGATAATGTTCCCCCCAGGACAACAGTGCAACATACAGACAGCAAGTGACGAGGGGTGGGATTCATAATAATTTAAATAACCGCAAAACAGAGGACGGCATATGGAAGGGGGCTGGATTTTATACTGTATATACTGAGTGAGCAAATGTCAGTAAAAAAATGGCAATAAATAATTTATTTACATAAATTAATAACAAACACAAACCAAAATTAAGGGCCGAAAAAGCAATCAGACTGGCATCCCATAATACGGAAGTTCTTCTCACGCTGTTCATACAGATACTATCAGAAGTCATTATTTTTAGTTTAAAATTCCCAGAACAGCTGACAAAGCCGCCCCCAAAAAACACATAAAGCACAGTCTCAGTTCCCGTTGTTAAAGGAAAACCGCTCACACAGACATACTTAGTCAACATTCTGACTGCAGTGGTGCATGACCTTGTGGACTGAGACTGTGTCTGTGATTCATGACCACTGGCCCTGGAGCTGGGACAGATTCTCTGGGGAGTGGCTGACCCCACTTTCTGAAAAATGTACATTGCTTTGGATATACGTGTCTGATAAAAATATAAACACGTGATAAAGGCAAACAAGCTGTTTTTCTCCTCCACACGTCAGCAGGATAGGGGGTTCAAATCCCACCTCTGCTCTGCGTGTGTCAAACCTGCATGTTCACCCTGAGGCACACAGATGTTCGCCAGTGTTACTTTCTCCCATGATTGAAAGCATTTTGGCCTCTCTTGGGGAGATGTTCAAATAAATTTGCCCCAGCGAAGGCAGTAGTAGGGATGGAGGTGGGGGTTGCGTTGTGATGTACGAATGATTTTACATAAATTTTTAAATAATAAAGATTTTGCTATTTAAAATAAGACTAACACTTTAGGGTGCAGTCACACAACTAAACATTACTAAATCCAATAACTGATCACCATGATAAAATGATTTTGTCTGATATAGGATTACAATCTTCTTTAGGTATATGTTTTGTCCTTGTGCTCTGAACGTACAACGAATTGGCCTCAATAACATGCAGGAGCACATTTTTAATTGTCTTATCCGTTTCATATATATCATGACACAAATGCATCCAAAAAATGGCATTAAGAACGGTGATCGCAAAACCCAAAAATATCGCAATGTGATTTTTTTTTCAATATCGTATAGGCGTAAATCGAGATCTGTTCATGTGACATTACTGAGGGATATGTAGGTCAGACGTCATGGAGAACAAAATGTGATTTTAACTGAGGAGTAAGAGTGACAGGATGGGGAGGGGATCCGCTGAT